AAAGCTCTGGCCAGAAGCATACAGATTTAGGCATGTAGAATCTCTGCAATGGAAGCAGCTTTCTCTTGATCACTATAGCAGCAGAAATCTTGACCTAGCACTACCAACCTGATAATGATGCCAATACTCTAAGGAGAGAGCTTATTTGTACTATTTTACTAACTGCAATTTCACAACTCTGTGCCAATAGACTGAACTGTGACCACAGTGTAGCTACTGGTCTAAGAGATAAAAGGATCAGTCTATTTTTGGTTATTTTCATTTATCATTTCTTAAGCTAGTACTAGCCTAAATTTAAAAAGGAAAATGCATGAACACGTTTCTCCACAAAGTACCCAATTCTGTATACATCTTATTATATGATATGTATTCATAAATGCATATTGTAACAATTTTAGAACTGGAAAGTACTCTAAATATTCAGTAGGATTATTCACTGAATAACAAAATATTTTAGTCTGAATTTTATAATTAGTTTTATGTGATTTGTTACAAAGGCTTGAAGTTAGGAACAAACTGATTTTAAAATTGTTGAAATATTAAAACAGCATAAATATCTATAAAATAGAATAATTTTATTTTATGTTACTTAATTTTCACTTCAAGAATTGATTTTTTGAACTTAATTTTTTCAAGAATTTGCAATGTATTTTTCAACAGTTAACACATATATTTGACAATATGAATCTACAAATGCATTTTTAAATAACAATCCATATTTATATCTCTACATGTGAACAAACATTTTGGGGCAAACTTTCAAAAATAGACATGAGGATATGCATGACCTGAATGAGTAAATATTTATAATTTTATAAGGAAAATAATTTTTGGGAAAAGTAAAAGTTACATTTTTCTTTGTTCCTTGTCTTATTCTTTTATATTTCATCTCCCAAACTAAAGTAAAAATGACTTTGATAGAGAATTATTCAATTTTTCACATAGTACTCAGAATTTTAAGAGTTCAATGAACAAACCATCATAATAACAGTGCTTGAGAATAGCACACTTATAATAAAAATGAGATCTTTAGAAAGGCATTTGATTAATAAACTTCTTTGACTTGACTTCACTAAAAACATCAAGAATCTGAATTGAAGTACAAATGAAGAAATAAGAAGTGTTAAGTATAGTACAGAGAAGCCAAATAAGTATTTACCATCATTCTTGGCCTATAATTCTTAGCACAGGGCTAAATATAATTGAAATATACATTTTTAGTAGTGCTGGTCAAAATGGTATTAAGCAAAGCTGGAGTTTAATATAGAGTAGAGAGAAATACCTGCAGTTCGATGGAACCAAGGCATATTAACTGAACATTTCTGTGTCACAATTGACCTATGGACACAGACAGGAATCAGAACTTGGAAAAGAGCTAGGTAGCAGATGAAGTTAGGAGTCAGTAATATAAATCATACTAATATCTACAGTATTCCAGCAAGGGAGATAGTTAGCAGACATATGGAAAACACATTTGAAAGTATCATGCTGTTAATTACCTGGCATATTCAGCTATCTGCAGATACTATTTACTGTTTCGATGTAGTTATAAACAATTGGATGCCTTATTTCAGTATAATCATTTCTTGGAGTTGCAAATTGCTTATTCTCTAGTTACTACTATATATCAAAGGCATATTTTTAATAATTCAAGGATGCTGAAAAATTCCAGGACTAACTTCTCCTAGTCAACAAGAGTTGTCTTTATTTGTACAAGTTTGCTATTATATTATAGGTTCTCTGAAGACCTTAATTAAGTCTATGACTATAGCCAATGAGCAGTTTCTTAACAGTAATGTAATTATGCTACCAAATAAGGAAGGGATTATATCAGAACTGGTTCCTATGCATTCCAACTACGTCATTTTATATTCTGAAAGCTTTATGGATTGAAGCTTTAATGCCTTACAACTAAACTGCCATAGACTTTGGAAAAACAAACTGATGGCAAATGTAGGTAAAAAAGAGTTCTGTGATCTTCTAACAAAATGTAAGATAGTACTTCTAATAAAAAAGCAGAAATATCATATACTCTTTGATTATGTTGTACATTTCTAACAGCATTTCCAAACTTTGCTAAATTTAATTAGTGAATGAAATGTATTATTTCAAATGGTATCAATCAGGTGGTAGATGTGTGCACAATGATGCAGCCATAAAAACAAGATGTGGCTGTATCTGTAAGCAAGTGTCAGCCGAACTTCTGTAGGTGAAACATTTAAGAATGAGGAGGCCATTACTGAAAAAAGTCATCTTGTCCTCACCACATATATTTATTTTTTTTGGGGGGGGGGGAGGGAAGAAACAGTTTCAATAGGCCTTCTCTTGATGGCTCAACTGGATAGTTATAAGAAAAAAACCCCTCAAGACTGCCCAGCTTGATTCTTTTTATATAAGAAGGGAGAGAGAAAATCCTGTCAAACTTTTAAGATTGTGTCATTATATTCTATAATTAATAAACTTCCAAGTAGGAAGTTTTTTTAGGCAATGACCAATACTTTGAATTGAGTCCAGAAGCCTTTGGAATACAGAGACCTAATAGATGTAATTCTCTAACTGTAGGCTTCCTGAGCAAGCAGTCTTACTGCTGCATTCTGAATCTGTGCCAGCTTCCGAGTCATCTTCCAAGGGAAGCCCATGTAGAGCAGCGGTTCTCAACCTGTGGATCGCGACCCCTTGGGGGTCGAATGACCCTTTCACAGGTATCGCCTAAGACCATCAGAAAACACATATTTCCGATGGTCTTAGGAACCGAGACACTGCTCCTCTATCCATCTCTGCACGGCTTCGAGCTGGGGGCGGTTGCAGCGCCGGATTTGTTTCCATCAAGCATCTCCTAAGGGAGACTGCACTGCTTCACAGCCCTTTCAGCGGAGGAGGCTGAACTAAGCTCTTTTGATGCTGTCGCCCTGTTGGCTCTCTCTCTCTCTCTCCCTCTCCCCGCCTGGGCGCTTCTCCAACCAGGCTGGGCGGAGCCGGCAGAGCGGCCTTCCTGCCCTCCTCCTCGGCCAGCTGGACCTGGGCAGGCTGGCGACCTTTGGAAGTCAGGTGAGGACAGGCAAGGCACGCTGAGCCTTGGGCGCGGTGGGTGAGTGGGCACTTGGAGAGCCCTTAGGGTTGGGGGTCACCACAACATGAGGAACTGTATTAAAGGATCACGGCATTAGGAAGGTTGAGAACTACTGATGTAGAGTGTATTGTGATAGGACAGTTATATGGCAATCAGGGCATGAATCACTGTCACCAAAGCATTCTGGTCCAGACAGGGCTATAATAAATGCACCAGACAAATTCATGTTCCAGCAAGACCCATTAGTCTACGAGAATCTCCAAGTAAATGGACCAGAGGCAGAACCTATACCATAGTGAATCTTATGCATTTCCCCAAATTCCATAAACTCAGAAGAATCCTATGTCATAATTCAAGGTACTGCTCTTTGCCTCACTTGAATCAGTCCAACTGGAATCTAAACAGAAGTGATTTGATCAGTAAGAAAAACTGCAAAATTCTCTAGATGGCCTGCAGGTGCCTTATCTTGCCTGCATTTCCCTAAAATGATCACACTTTCAATGAACAGGGAGTCAATGGATACAGTAATTGTGGAAAAGTGTTAATATGTCATCACACTTCTTGCTATTGAGTAGGCTCCATCATGAGGTTGTACTTGTGCTTGGCTATGCTCACTTTTGCTTTTATGTCACTGTCAATCTTATCATCTTTTCTGTCACTTAATCCCCCACTTATTAAAAAAAAACATGGAGCTACTTGGAATTGAAGGTTAGAAAGTGAGATACCTCTGTATTCCAGAAATTGAATATGTCAGCCTGTAAATCAGAGCTGCCCACCAAATTGTTGGGAAAATTTCCAAGCACCCTCTGGATCCATCAGATCCTTGCAGAGATCCAGAAGGATACAGTCCACAATTTGATCAGCAAATCATCTGACTATAATAAAAGGACATTTGTAGGTTCTGTCTCTCATGTCCAGATCTCATTTCATCTGCTCTGAAGTAAAGAACATATTAACCAGGTGCCTGCCTATGTGCACCAAAGCTGCAATTGCTTCTGCTTATGCCCATGATTGTCATGGAGGCCATAAATTCATGAGCCATTCTAGAATTCCCTCCTGGGGCATGAATTTTGAAATTTTGAATTCATCCAACATCATAAGTCCCATAGATTATAGAGAGAGAAGTTCAAAAAGGGCCATCTCCCGACAACTCTTAACACCACTACTAACTCTAGCTTCTCTATGCAGTTCAGTTTAGCATACAGGCACTTGCAACTAATCACCTCTGGATCACTGCAAGGTTTTCACAAATGGAAATCTTTATTTCCTGAGCTTGATGTTATGAGTGCTGCAGAACCCGAAACCCAATAGTCAGATTTCTTAACAGGGCTATATCACTGAGCACGAATAGTACATGTTTCAATAGTATGTTCCATGTCTGCTTCCTCATGCACATGATGGATGGATACAATTTTATTGTATACAGAAACTGAAATTTATCAGATTCAGATTTCGTGGTGATCAAGGAATCTGACATATGGCTAACTAGCCCAGGTTGGAGGCAATTAGTTTAAAAGGGATTTACACTAACATGAGACTTCCTTCTCCTGTAATGGCTTATCCAATGCCCTTTCCTCCCCTCTTACCAGTTTCAATATATATTTTAAAATTTGAATCTATGTTGAATTTGCTAACACAGTTGACAAAAGGCCTAAGAAACAACCATCATAGACAGAATTTGTTATTTTCATTAGGTACATATTAATAGTTAGAACTGATGATGTTACCTAGTTGGGTAATGAAACATATGTAGGAAAACAACCAACCTCTAAGCAACAAGGACCCCACATAATTAATAATTTGTTGTAAGAATTAATCTGGAATTAAAAAGTATAAAGCTTATATTGCAATACCACTCTCCTCAGCTGTTCTAAAAACCTGAGATAACATCAGAATTCTATTTTGCATTCTGTCCGGAAAGCAGACTTACCAGAACAAACTTTTAATTAATTCACAATTTTTTTATTTTGTGAAGTAGTAGCAAAGAGGCTTGGCTGTTGCTCAAAATCAAGGAATTCATCAGCAAAGTAATAGAAGTAATTGAACTCTCAGTCTTAGTTCCAACCATGATTATATATATCAACTTGAATGAGCTATGTAATGACAATCTACTGGATAGAAATCTGGAAACAAATCCTGAAAGGGGAAAAAAAAATCTCATTTTGAAAATGAACAGAAAACATTTTGTTGAGTCACCCTTGCACATTTTGGATTATAGAGCTGTAGGACAGAAGAATTCTGAACTGTCAGCAGTGATACACACAGCCAGTTTTAGATATCATAAATGGACAGCAGTTGTTACTTATTTAATTCATTCCCATAATTTTAGTACAAAGAAAGGCATATCTTCTTGAATATTCAATAGGCTATCAAAACAATCTGAATAGTTGGAAGGTCAGGGTGGTAGTTTATCTTGTAATTTAATTGGGAGGTTATTTATATTTTTCACATTTCTAAATCATCTATTTCCCTTAAAGAGGGACTCTGGGTTGGGGGTAGAAAGGCTTGTCTTGGATAATCTATCCATATTTTTAAAGGGGATACATCATAAAAATACAACTGGGAGCCAGTGCAGCTCAAACAAAGTAGTACAACTGGGGAGGAACCACAAGCTTACCAAACTGGATGTTGCTGCATTCTAGATTATTACAGCTTCTGGATGGTCTTTAAGGACTGCCCCACGTAGAACATATTGCAATAAGACAAATGGGAGGTGACTAAAGCATAAGTCAGGGCTTTTCAATCTTTTCACCCATACTACCACTTTTGGGATATGGCAACATCTGAGTACCACGAGTTGCCTAGCAAGGTGTCGAAAACTTGATGACCCCCCCCAAAAAAGGAAAAAAAGTGATAAAGTACAGGTAGTCCTCGACTTACAACAGTTTGCTTAGTGACTGTTTGAAGTTACAATGGCACTGAAAAAAGTGCCCCCCAAGGCACAGCCGAGCAAGACACCTACCTGCCTGCCTGGTGGTGCTCTTCCTCCTATCTGAGGTTTTCATTGTGAGCATTACTGTTGAGGATTGGCAGCGGGGGTGGGGTGGGGGGTGTTTGGTTTTTATTCCCCCGTTTGCTGGGTAGTTGCAGCAGGTTTTGGTTACTTCACATGACCCTGGGACACTGTGACCGTCATAAATATAAATTAGATGCCAAGCATCTGAATGTAAATCACAAGACCCTGGAGATGCTGCAACATTCCAGCTGATAGGCGCTTCTTGTGGGCTCAGCAGAAGCACCAGGATCAGCGCCGAGCTACAGCTGGAGCCTGGCGCTGATCCTGGCGCTTCTGCTGAGCCCTGACAGCCCTGCAGCTCCAGCCGTCTCTCGCTCAGGCTTATGCGGTGCTGCCACCAGTTCAGCTTCCCCTCCCCCGCTACCACTTTTCTAGAATGGTCGCGTACCATCTGCCAGGTGCCAATGTACCACAGGTGGTACCCGTACCACTGGTTGAAAAGCCCTGATCTACTGGACCTTGGGCCAGTCACTCTCTCTAGTCCAACCAACCTCCTGGAGTTGTTCTGAGGAAAATAGGACAGAAGAGTATTATGCATGTTCGCTGCCTTGAATTATTTATAAATAAAGGCAGGATAAAAATCTAATAACAATCTGATAAATAAGTCTGAGCCTGATTTGAAAGTAGACTTAAAAATGACAAAGATGCTATGCTGGACATACAAATGAAACCAACTGATGTCTTATTAGTTAAAAGGAATATACAAATAACCAACCCAAAAAGTGACCTGGATGATATTCCTATATTGAATAGGAGATATTAGAAGTATCTTGTTAAAGTCGAACAATTTTGTGAAAAGGCACAAAAAAATTAAAAGAAATCAAATTCTAGGATATTATTTGAAGGGACCAGAGAAGTTAATACTATTTTGATCCAATACTTCTTCATGCTTCCTTTGCCCTCCTTTCAACTCTTTCTCAATTCAGTTAGCTCTTTCAACTGCACTAATGGAGCCTGGCAAAGGCAATAGAGTAGGATTTATCAACAAGAAAAGAATGCTTCTCCCTTATAAAGTCTTAATGTCTTCTTTTGTGCAAACTAATTAGAGCTCTCACTTTCCCTTGCAATGAATATTTTGGTAAAATGAAAAAAAAAGCAGGAATGCAAAATTCAGAGAAATTAATGGTTATGGTGCCATATTAAATCTTGACATATGAAGCAGATGTTAGAAAGAACTCTACTCTATGCTTCTATAATTAATTGGGTATTTATGAAAGAAGCGTTTTAGAAAACAAATAACATTAAATTGTGGATTAACCTTTTAATAATGATTAGCGGCCATGTGTTCATACCAGTTGGCAAAAATCTTCTTATATTTTGCTTTGAACCATTTTCTAATCTCTCTTGCTCCATAGCAGTGCAGTGTACCCTTGATTTAAAATAAAGCACACTCCGTTTAAAACTTTTCAGCGATGAACTATTCTACTGAACAGTAGAACCTGTTTGATCAGTTAAACCTTTCATTCCATTCCTCTGGCATGAGGCAACTTTTCAATAATTGCCTAATCAAGTTTTCTATAAAAGTGTACTTGCAAAGCAGAACACATGCCTAAGTTGCTATACAGAAGAAATATAAACAGCTTCCCATGTCATCCTTTAAATGAAGTGACATTAAACTTGCTATCAAGCTTGGCAACTTTGTGAAACAAAAGTGTAGAATCCTAGCATTTTTTTGAGAAATCTGAATGCCCACTTTTGTACTCTGTTTTTTATGCTTTCTTAGGGCTTTATTTATTATGCTTGTTACTTGTCACAATCAAATTCCTGGCAATTTACAGAATAATCCAATACATTAATTATCTGTAATATGATAATAACAATATAAAAACAATCATATAACAGAATACATAAAAAGTACAAAAACAATACAAAAAATCAATAAATGTATCCATTAAATGTACCCAAAAATCACAATGCAAATACTCTTCTAAATAACTCTGATATTTTTTGTAAGTGAGAAATGTTTGCTTTGATTCTTCCTTTCTTGTTCAGGTTCATCCTGTTTTCTATTTTATTTATTTATTTATTTTAATAAATTTATTTTATTTTTCCTTGTTTAGTGTAGCTATTCCTTTCCCTCACCCTTTCTCCATCCTATTTTTTCTTTATCACACTGCCATATAAATAAATGCAGGTAACTCTTACTCTACTCATGCAGCTATAAATAAAAGTCCCATAAGCATTTTTAGTTGCTATAGGATTCTACAGAATAGTTTTTTTAAAACTTTTTTGCGGGTACTTAAAATCTATACCAAAAATTCACTGTTTTTTTCTGGATATTGCTTAGTTTATTCCAAGTATTCATGGAAGCGGTGATGATGTATCTAATGTACTAAAAAAACTACTCCCCAATCAAGAAAAATGGTTAGATATCGGTCATTAAACATAAATTCTGCCACACCTAACTTATTTATTTTATTTAAAATGTAGAGTCATAGACCAAAAACACAAAAAACAAATAAACAAAGTAATGCAGATATTCCTTAAAAGCCTATTCATATCTGAGCAAAACAAGCTTAAGTTCATTAACCTCTAATCGTCTAATTCACACATGTCAAATTCGTGACGTCACGTGATGTCACACTACGTATCGGGACAGTTTTGTGTGGCTTCCGGATGATGTGTCCGACCCGCAGGCCGGCAGTTTGACACCCCTGTTCTAATTTCTACACTTACGTCTTCTGAACTATTGCTTTATTTGGAATGCTCCAACACTGGAGGTGTCAGAATCCAATTATATTTCATCTCTAGTTATTAACTATGGAAAACCCCATTTCTGCCCTCTTTGGATTCTGTCATACGATGAAGGGGAAGGGGGGGTGAACAAAGGGGTTTTATGGCCCTCACTTCCTTCAGTACAACTTCAAAGGACTTGAATGTGGATATCACCAAAAGGATTAAGCATAAGAATGGGGGCCATCAGCTTTGATCTGTTCCTCTCTGAAGTCTCCCTTTCACCGGCAGTGAGCAAAAGGGGGTGGAAATGTAGAGCCTGGGATTGTCACTGGGAAGATGATGGGGGTGGGGTGGGGCTACTGGGGACCCCTTAAAATTTTAAACTGTAGGGCTTGGGCCCCAGATCCTGTCTAGAACGCCTGCAACCATTTTCTTTTAATAAAGATGCCTGTTGGAAGAAATATTCCAAGAGTTCTGTCTTCTTAAGATGCAAAGTGGGGTGGTTCCTTACAGGAGGTTTTTAAGAAGAGATTGGGCAACCATTTATCTGAAACGGTATAGGGTTTCCTGCCTGAGCAGTTGGTTGGACTAGAAGACCTCCAAGGTCCCTTCTAACTCTGTTATTTTGTTATCTCTCATTTCCTTCGACACATTAATATAGGATTTTGAATTAAGTAGTGCATCACTAAATTTGTCTGAAACATCTCGGAAGAATTTTTGTACTTTTTAAAAGAAAAAAAAAGAAAAAAGAAAGAAGCAGAAAACTCTATCTCAGAAATATAATGCCAGTAATTTCAGGCATTTTAAAATATCTAACTACTTTGGACAATAAAACAAACAGCTGCTGATGAAGCTTATGATAAGGTTAAAATGGTTAGTGTGGCTGGAATATGAAGAAATTAATAACTGAGTTCCATAGAAAATAACAAATTTGTTCTGCTTCATAAAATTTCAAAGTCACAGCACTAATTGCTATTGAAATGAAACAGAGAAATAGATACCAAATAAATAATACTAAAAAGAAAATGAATTTAACAAAATGTGTCCCTCCCAAAGGAAAAATAGTCAGAAAGAACAGCAAAACACCCCACATATGAATAGGGTTACTCTGGAAAGAGTACAACAGAAACAAATAATTAACAAAGAAAAATAACCATACAACATTGAATAGAAACAACTCAATATAAAACAGTTATTAAAAAGGATAACTAGATAATCAAAAGGCGACTCCACTCAACTAGATCTAAAGGTCTGGGGGAAAAAAAAGTCTATATTTTTAAAAGTAAGCAAACCCTGGTTTTTTCTGTGTTTTTTTTTTGCGAGGGGGGAAACCATTCAAGAGTACAGGGGCAGCCACTGATAAGGAACGCATTCTAATGTAGGTCTCACAAGATGGCAATATTAAAGTGAGGAAAACTGGAGCATGCTGTCAGTACGGGAAGGCATGGGATGCAGGCAGAGGTTGATTGGAACAGGCAGTCCTGCAAGTACCTCAGTCCTATGCTATGTAAAGCTTTAAAGGCAATAACCAGGAAACTTGAATTGCACCTGAACATCTGTTGGGAGCCAATATAGCTTGTGGAGTCACATGGGCACAATGAGCTGCTCTCATAACTACCTGCACAGTTACATTCTGGACCAATGGAATTTTCTGGACAGTTGAAAGGTTGAATAGAGTGCACTGGCCATGATGAGTTCTCTTGTAGTGAGTTGGCCATGACAAGATGGCTGTAAGTTGGCCGTGGAGAGCTGGACTTGATGAGATGGCTGCAGTAACTTGGCCCTGGCAAATTGTCCCATTCTGGGCTTGGCAGAGCAGAACTACAACTTGTTCTTTCCCCTTCAGATCCTCTCAGCTTCCAAACATTGGGAAAGAACCTCAATGGCTTCATTTGGATTTTCAACTGGCTTCACATATGACAGATGTGTATAGTCTGTATCGATGTACAAACAAAATGAACAAGACCAGAGCAGCAAGAACATTAATTGAATAAATAAATGCTGATTAAAAGCATCTGCCTGTAAAATAATGTATCCTACATGTAAAATTAATGGACCTACCATTTACAAGTACTTTGTAGCAAACATTTTTTTTCTCCCACAGAAACATCTCTGACAGAGGGAAACATGTT